CAGGGAAGACGAAGACGTGCTACGCGTAGTTATCGCGTTGCAAGGTGTTCCTGGTCCTGTGATCAGCGATCTTAGCGGACTGATGCTTGTGCCTGCCTCCATCGGTTCTGGAACGAAGGGCGGAGATACCTGTACTTTCTCGTTCGAGCTCGAATGCGCAATGCGGGGATACTGGCGGCCGTGCGAATGACAAGTAGAGCTCGAAGATGAGGCGTGTGACGATAATGGTATGGATAGTTGTGACTGGGAGGACGTCGATGTACCACGAAGATCATCAAAATCGCCCTCAAAGACACCCTCTTCCCTTGCCATTCTCAGCTGACGCTCCTCTTCCTCTTGGCGCGAGAGCATCAGGACATATTCGACGGCCTCCAACTCCGAGAGACCAAGAGAGTCTAAAGTAGATCTGTGCTCTCGCTCGCGGCCATATATACGTTGGACATGGGCTCTCTCATACTCGAGCTCCCCGAACGATTCAGCGATATCTTTGTGCATCTCGCATTGCTCTGCCACACAAGTCAGATGACGAAGAATAGACGCAGTGGAAGACTTACTTTGTCCCTTTGAGGTCAGGCTCTTCTTAGAATGGGAGTGCTTGGTTTTCTTAGGCTTGTGCTCGCGTCCGCTGGCCTGCCCAAGGTTCCACGTCATCGCCCGATTTCCTACGATGATCACCACAAGTTCTTTATCGAGTAGTACTTGGCTAACGCTGGCCCAGTCGTGTCCAGGAGCGGGGCGAGGAGCAGGCGACATAAAGTAGCGTAGAGGTTCCAGTGTAAGAGAGTCCCAGACTGTGGTGGTCCCGCGCGCGGAGCCAGTGGCGAACACCATGGGGCTCCAAGAAATGGCAGTAACGCCTCCATCTGTGTGCGCCTCAAACCTGTGCACAGGTGTGATAGAAGACTGCGAAGACAAGGGAACGTCAGCGTCGTAGATGCTAATAAATCCTAGGTGATCTCCGATAATCATCGTGTTCCCGTCGCGTTCCTGAATGGATGTGACTAGCTCTACGACAGAGACGTTGCTGAAAGAACTGTCTCCAAAGGACGTAGTGGTCATTTTACCGGATTGGATGTCGGCGAAAATGCGGTAGAGCAACGAATGATTGTAATATTGGACGAAGATCGACACGCCAGATTCTGTGCTGCGGTACAACCACGTCTTTGCGATACGTGGTTCTGGTTCTGAGCCATGCATTTGAACGGGGGGCTGATGCTCATCGCCATGAATTGGAGCGGTGACCCTGAGTTGACGGAGGGCAAAAGCGAGAGGTTCGCCAGTTGTATCTTGTGCCTCCAAGTTGAAGAGGAGGATGTCTCCGCTGTTCAGTGCGCCAGCGATGAAACCCTCGCTCAAGCTACCCGTAATACTAATAACCGGGTCCGTAACGAGTGAAACCTGCTGCTTTCCACTCGACCACATGAGCCCAAGAGTCCTGAGGTCCCATAGATTGATACGGCCATCAGCTCCGGCAGACACAAGTGTGTTGGAGATGGGGTCGGGGAGTAGTTGTTGAACAGCGCCTTCGTGTTGGTCATTGACGCTGCATCTGATGAACCTGGGTACGGCGCGGCCCGAGTCCATGACTTTATTTGCGACAGTTACTGCGACTTCGCCGTTGCGTTTGCCCCAAAATACACGTGCAGTGCCTCCATCAGATGACATTGCGCACGCGGAAACGTTCGGCGTAAATTCGACGTTGGGGTTCCCGATGCCCAATCCGGTCCCAGAGGCGTCGATATAGCCTTTCAAGATCTTACCGCTGAGCGGCAGTGACCTTGCGACAGTACCATACTGGATAGACGATGTGAGGAGGCCCTTATCCGACATCAGGTGCAATCCGTCAATCGACGAGTCTTGAGGGGTATGGGTGACCGTGGGGTTCCGAGAACGCTCCCAGCGTCTGATAAGGGGCGGTTTGAATCCTGGGTGACTGATTATACTTCAAAAGAACGTACCGCCTGAAACTATATCGCAGGATGAACTCTTTGCGCCACGTATTCTCCATCCTCCTCAACGGGAGTATTTTCTCGTTTTCGAGTTCACGCTCGGGACTGATGGAGAGGAACTGGTTCAGGAAGGCCCGAAGCCAGGTGTTGTCATCCTTTACGTGTTCATAGAGGGATCTACAAGTCGTAGCGAGTGTAAGAAGAGAGGGCGGTGTGAGATATGAAGTGATGTGAGTGAGCGACTCGGCTGGAACGTCGAGTAGGCGGGATTCTGTGCTGTGATGGTGTCCATGCTGGGGGTGATGATGTGCCGAGGTTTGGAATGCTTTTGCTTCTGAAGTAAATTCTTTCTGGAGAGTATGTATGGGTCTTGTTGGCATATAATGGCAGGAAAGATCACAAAATTTGTTGCGTTCGCAGACAATCGAACCTGCGAGATAGTAGGAGGGAGTCAACCGGTACTTCTCAATTAGGCGGGTCCTTAAGAAAAAGCGAGAGATGACGTAAGAACGTTCTCATAGCACGAGGCTATTGAACGTTCGAACCCTACTAGTAGTACTTCCAATCATTCTCAATCCCCTACTATGCCAGCGTATACTGTCAACGCTGTCAACACGTACTGGTCGTTGTCGCCGACTTGACAATGACCTCGCTTGCTTGCTAATATAAGTCTGATAGGTTTGAGAATCTGACCAATTTACAGTCCGCCCGGGTGAAAGCAAAAGATTCATCAGGTATGAGAGCCCTTACCTGCTCTGACTGCACCCCTCGGGGTTGCAAACAATAAAGATTGGAAACAATACAGAGAAGATTAGCATGGCCCCTGCACAAGGATGACACGCTTTTCCAGAATGGTAGACCTACGGGTCTCAATATTTATTTTGCTTGCAAGTATGTGTGCTAATTTATTAGAGATCCCCCAACGTAATCATTTTTGCCAATGGTCACCGTTATCTACCTTCACGAAGGCTATCTCGAAGGGGAGGACTTGACATCAGCGGGGAAATTTTCAAGGGCTTCAATGCAGTCAAATATGAAGAACAAGCAGGAACGCATGTGATTTCCCTTCATCAGACTCCGACTGCTGGAAGACGCAAAAAGACAAGGCCTTGCCAGGGTTCGAACCTGGGTTTTGAGAACACTGGTGATCACATCCAAATCAGAATCTCAAGTGATAACCACTACACTACAAAGCCGATCGGCGGTTCGATCTCTGATGGCCTGCGTAACTTGCCCATGCCAGATGGCCGAGTGGTCTAAGGCGCGGGCCCTCCCTGGAGGCGATGCAAAGATTGGTGATGAACATATGAAAGGTGCACCCCAACTTGAACGCATTGGGCAGTTGCTACGCTACAGCGTCAGGATCAAGATCCCGACCTGCTCATCATTTCATCGTCGCAGATAGAGGACTATCCAATCCACGATGTCAGTTCCCGAGCGACTGGGCCTCAGAGACGCCCGATGCCAAATGCACGACCAAGTCAATCCAATAAATCTACCTTACATTACTTACAAATTTTCCTCACTATAAAACAAACATGTACCCACACCACAACTCCTCGTACGTCCACCTCACCACGCAATCCAAGCAATGAACGACTAAAAAAACCCGGCCTGCATCAGCCTCACCCCCAAAACACAAAGCAGACGAAACCTCTCACCTTCGGATACGTCCTCACCACCAACTTGCGAAGCTCGTCCATGATCAAGATACCAAACGCAAAACAAAACGGTATACCCCAAAACATCCCAGGGATAGGTCTCATGTAAAACTCTCGTTGAAGCCCAGGTCCGTAGAGGTTGATCACCGCGATCAGAGCTGTTGCTAGCATGCTGCAGGGCACGACTAAGTTACGGCGCGGGCCCCAGAGTGGGTTCGATTGTAGCATCGACACACGACGGTTTCGGACAGAAAGAAGGCTTCCGTATTGTCCAATAACGAGCGTGACGTAGCTGAAGGGCCGTTAGATATTCCAATCATAGGCAAAGTAAGGAACTTTCGATGCTTACTAGATGCATGAACCGACATAGACAAAGTTGGTAAGCTGGTCGGCCGTGAAGCCCTGCCAACCATCCTGCCATCTGTTGTAGACAAGAATGACGTCATAGAAACCAAGACCTTGTTGGCGCATGTACAAGAACCACATTCCCATGGCAGTCGGCCACAGCATCAGCCCGATGAACTGCCAAACCATCAGACGCATTCCCAATACCTTTGCGCTCGTGACTCACCAGGTAGACTTGCATGAAAAGACGCCAATCCGTCAAGCGGTCAGTGCGTGCATTGCGAGGCTTGCGCAACATGAGGTCTTCAAGGGGGTCAGGACTGATACAGGCACAGTAGCCCGAGGTTGAGCATACCTGCTTCCGGCTTCTCGTACATCAAACATATGGACATGACAACGTCATTGGTGATACAGAAGCAGACCTGTTGGTAGGTCGTCATGGGCAGCTGCATGCCAAGAACAACATTCGTGAAGACTGCCATGAACTCGGTGTAGCTTCCGGCCTGAGGAACTCGCGTTAGCGTGGATTTGTAGAGGAAAAGAGGTATACTTACCGGCATCAAATACAAGGTAACTTTCTTCAGGTTGTCAAACACAAGACGACCCATCTCAATGGCAACTGGTATCGACGCAAAATCATTTTTGAGCAAGATCAAGGCGGCTTTGAAATTAGGCATGAGCAACACGTTCGACATCTGTAAGCGGACACACATACCAGCCTCCTTTGCGACATCACTTCCACTTCCCATAGCGACACCGATGTCAGCAGCTTTCAGTGCAGGCGCATCGTTAACACCGTCTCCGGTTACTGCTACTGTGTTATCTCCGCGAAATTTGATTTCTTCGACGATCTTCATCTTCTGGTCGGGGGTGGTACGCGCAAAGACGATTTCCGTGTAGACGCCAACAATGATATCCCAATCTGCGGGCGTTAGAGAGGAGACATCTGCGCCCGTCAGTACGAGGGCCCTTATGGGATCATCCTCGTCCGGTTTGACAGCGTGACGGGACACGGGAGGAGTCTTCTCAGATGCCGCTGCTCTGACATCGTCGATCGTATCAATCTGTTGTTGGGACACAATTCCGACCTAAAAATCAATTAATTTTGAGTACATGTCAGCGGGGAGAGTGCATAGACACCCACCTGACGAGCGATTGCTACGGCAGTTAGCTTGAAGTCGCCAGTGACCATGAAGACCCGAACGCCGGCCCGTCTGATCGTCTCGATAGCAGCAGGGACATCCTCACGAGGAGGATCACGAATACCGACGAGGCCAACCAGCGTGAGGTCTTCCATCTCCGCATACATCAATTCCTCCATTGTGTTTGGTGGCAGTCCAAACTTGAATCCGTCCAAGGATTTACGACAGCTGCGGTGAAGTAGTGAGCAAAGGGTTGCACACGATATGAACAAGCTCAGACTTACAGTGCAAGGACTCGCTTGCCTTCGCTTGACCACTCATTCTGGAGTGCACCCAGCCTCTGTCTTTCACTCTCGCCGAATGGTATGGAAGTACCGTCGCTTCGTAATACACTACCGCACGAGTTGAAGAGCACATCTGGAGCACCTTTGACGAACATCCATGCCG